ATTCCCGGACAGTCGTCTGGCAAAATTCCTGCTACTCGAACTTTCACGTAGCCATTGTTCGGCGTAGCGTGTCTTAGGCTCATTTGAGTATCTCGGTTCTTGTTATAGTATGTCGCATTGAAAATGAAATCGCGCCATTGAAGGCTTTGAAACAGAAGCGACGGACAACCTTGATGCCCGCCTCCGAGAAACCACCACCCGAAACTATTACAGAATTTAATCTTACGGCTACTATTTAACTCGAACACGTCTTTACGTATAATGACTCTCCGTGCCGGCGCAAATATATCCACCTAAAGCGCTTATAATTTCTTTCAACTGACTTTTTTTTTTTAAAGTCACTAACATTAAACCTTGAAATACCGTTGAATTTTGACATTAATGCATACCAGTAATCACGTGAGAAATTATAATAATAATTTACTTTCGTCGAACGATCGCCACCGCAGTCTTCCCCAGCGCCGCCATCTTCCTTTCGGAATCGCTTCGAAAGTTTATATTATATTCCTCTTCTAACTCGCCGTCTGTAAGACCGCACCGTCCTCCCTCGATCTCTCATGCCTTGGTTCCACCTCGATTCCAGGTTCCTGGAGCCGAAAAAATCCCGTTTCACTAGAATCGAGAAAAAAAAAGGTAAAGGCACGAGTTGTTCTCGGGTCGAGTCTCGCTATCGTCGCTTCGGGCATTGTCGGCCGTTTCCGGCAGCTCTCGGAGCTCGTTACCTCCCGTTGCATTCTCGAAGCGCGCGGCGCGAGTGCACGAGTGCATAATGGACCCAATAGAGGACCGAGAAAACAGTGGACTCTGAGTTTCCGTGGTTTCGGTGGAAACGTACTTTAAGACCGGCCGAGATATGCTGAAGTACGCAAGAAGGACGGCCCGACCTCGGGTCGTCATGAGGAAGAAGAGAGGACGCTCCGTGTCGAAGAGCTGGCCCGGAACTCCCAGCACTTTGTCCGTCGCTTCCTCGGAGGTAAATGGATACCGACCCTAACGCCAGCAGCGCCACTTACAAGGAAGGTATCCCAGGTCGATCTCTCCGATTTCATTTCTTTTATAATATGTTATAGTATACTAAAAACTAAGCGACACGTATTTTTTTTATCTGTCATTAAACAGTTTAAGGGGGTGAAACCACCATCCAACGTAAGGCATGTCAAGGGGCGATTTGGCAGTTTCACTCACAAGAACATAATATTTTTTAACCAATCCACCCGGAAAAGCTTTCTCATAACGAGAAACGAAAAATATAATTTTCTCAATTAAAAAAAAAATTAAGGGGTGAGCCACCCCTCACAGGCCTTACTTTGGATGGTGGTTTCACCCCCTTAAAGTATTTAATGGCAGATAACAAAAAATACGTGTCGATTAGTTTTTGGTATATTATAACATATTATAAAAGAAATGAAATCGGAGAGATCGACCTGGGATACCTTCCTTGTTAGGCAGGACCGCATAAATCGTATACCAATATGTACCGCTTTTTTATTGCTTGTTTATTAGACACATTTTAATTTAGGGATGTTAAATGGAAGATGTTGAAGAAATTTTACCTCTAATTCATCTTAAGGTGATATGAAAGTATCATATATACATAGCAAGGAGTCAAAATATTTATGAAACTTTTATCCAAATTGGGGGTACCGAATTATTTTAACTTTTATCGCGAGATTAAGGAGGCCCTAAGGAAGAACGCGATGCTCGTGAAATTTCATTTGTCGAAAAAAAAAGAAATGTCTTATTTCGGTTCTAGGGTACGAGGTATTTGTCCCCTTTCATTCATAGAATCGGAGACGCTAGGACGCGCGTAAATGACTTGATTTGCATTCAATGGGCGCAAGTGCATCGCAGTCGTAGATGAGTACGCACGTAATGCGGAACCGTCCAGATTTGGAGCATATCTGATATGCGATCGTGTCGATAAATGGGAGTGGCACCTACGTCCTCGGACTCGGTGCACTACCCACCAATTTATGCATCCCATTTCTCTTCCGAAGTTATCACGAACGGTCTGTGGGCACATAGGGGGAGAGGAAAAAGCAAACTCCTCTCGCTCTCTCTCCTTTCCGCGCTTTCTGGGGCAAAATCCCCGAGAGCTCGTAAATCGCGGAGTTATCGCCGTGGCGCCGACCTGGCAGTGTTCTCTCCTGAAATTCGTATCGGCTTCTTTCGGTCATTTCCTCTGTTGATTTGTCGCTCTCCTGCGTGGGTGAAGCGGCACGCGTGGGCGCGCGTATCCCCGCACTCGCACGCATGGACGATATAATGTCTAATGTATGACAGCCACTCGTTATTACACTCTGAATTGTAACGAAGCACCCCGAGTTAAACGTTTAAACGCGCCCTTCGCGCTTTTCTTCGCCTCGCTCTGAATTTCCGTGATGCCTTAAGGTGATGTGAAAGTGGCAGAGGAGGTTTCCCCAGTAGCATAGAATAATTTCTAAATATTTCTTTGTGATCTTTGCTAAATATCTCAAGCGACAGATTTTTTAAGATTTCTTCTGGATTTCATTCGAAGATATCCGAAATATTTCTTGAAAATCTCAATGACATGTTTGGTTTCAATAATTTATAAACGTATATAGAAATTATATATTTTTTTAAATTTATGAACATGTAATAAAAATACATTTTTTACTTCACGACTATTATCGGACACTTCATTTGGTATAAAAAAACGCGAGAAACTTTTCCAATACTTCCGTTCCGCTATTTCATTATGGGAGCAATGAAATTTCAATTCTTTTTCAAATTTCTTTATAGGTATTTTAAAAATAGTTTATAAAAAATGAAATCTCGTGAGTTACAGGACCTACCTTAGGGTCTCCATATTCACGTTTTAAAGTATGAAACGATTTGAGACACCCAGTTCGTAGAAATTCGTTCGTTTTATGAACTATTGAGGTTCAGATGCCACTTTCACATCCCCTTAAGGTGATATGAAAGGGTCGTTCTATACAGAGATGAGCGGGGAGATGTTTCCCGCCATTGTTTGAAATGGAGGCACGGAACAGAAGGGTTCATAAACAAATAGCTTAAGGTGGTATGAAAGTGTCCGCGGATGTGTATAACAATAAATTAATATTAATATACTGGCGCGTCCTTCTGTGTTTCTGGTATATTTTGCTCTCATAGTCAGTGAGTTTGTTATTGCTTACATGTATACGAAGAAATTCTTTGCTCAAACATAATTCACCCCGAAGAAATGCAATTAGAAACTTTTCAGTGGGTCGTAGCACCACTCGAGGCGAAGTGAATTTACTTGTTCCATCTAATAATAAGTAACCAAGTTTCGCGAGAGTTAACGAGATTCATTTGAAACGTGCCACTTGCCGCGCCTTTACAGAGAATTTAGACTTTACATTTCAACCGTGCAAGGGAACACCGCACTCGATTGCGAACACCGCATTTTTTATGTTTACCAATTGCACAAGCCGCGAATCGTATCAACATTTGGAATTATTGAAATTCCCCCATCCGGGGTATTTTTAAATATACACGTTTAACGTCAAAATATGGATATATCTAGACTTCGTCCTGGAACCCTGAGTTATGACTTATCGCAAATAAAACTCACAACGGATATTTCGGAGAAAAGAATGTTAATTCAATATTGGCGCTCTGTGTCATCGAAGAGGAGGAGGAAATAATCGAATTTCACGTCGGGGATCTCCGGTCGATTGTTTGTCATTTGTCGCTTGTGCAAGACCATCGCCGCGTATTGCCTGCGTATTTGTTTATGCGTTGCGTCACGCCGGTCCATTGTATTTCATTTAATTTCACGCCTTTGCATTCGTTCGTCGACTTCGACAATTATATTCGGTAAACGGAGCATTGTCGGCTCTCTTAAACGTCTTTCGGTTTTCTTTTTCGTTTCTCCCTCGCGCAGTATATACGTATCTTTCGTTGATATTAATTCTTAAACGGAAATCGAGCCATTTTGACCCAACGTCGTCATATCAAAAGTGTATATAAAAACTATAGATGTCTCTCTTAAGGGAGCTTATACTTATTGATAGGGAGAAAATGTGAATATTTCCTTCGTTTATATAACATCTTTTAACATTATTCATTTAGAAATTAATAATTCAAACACTATTACCAAACACAATAATCAAAATATAGAGCGATGTGTCTGCTCTGTAAAATGCCATATAACATGGACACAAAGGAGAAACAGCTCCATTTCCACACACACAATAACTTGATAGAAAGTGACAAATCTCAAACAATAAAACCCGGAATAACTTTCTAGACAACTTAATTATTCAGTCATTGTGTTTTAAAGGTACGATGACTTTGTTTAGAAGCAAGTCAATGTACCTTTCATTATAGTATAATTCATCATTCATAGTATCATCAGTAAATCATTAGTATAAGCACTCCGTTCTCTTTGCAAGGTTTGACATCACCAGGGTCGCTATGTTTTATGCCAAATACTGTAAAAAAAAAAAAAGAGAGATAGGAGCATTTCTCTTTACACGTTCCACATCCCGCGGCTATTTTAGGAAAAATTTGCGGTAAAAGGGAATACGTTTCGGTTGGAAAACGCATGTGGAAACGATACAGAGGATCCGACCCGAGAGTCAGTGGTGACACTCGTCGGTGAATGCGAATAACACGAATATCTACCGGAAGTCCGGCCTACGAGGTTCCGGCCTGGCGCACGTTAACATCGTTGTCATTCTCCCTCTCGTCTCTCTGCCAGTTTCTTTTTTTTTTCAATATATTTTCGACAATGAACGCCTGTATGCTTTTCCAAACTGCCCCTGGAACGTGCCATTGTGCCATTTAGTACAATGCCCAATATAATACGACCCAGTTGTCGATGTAAAAACCAACATCGGCAACGTAGGTATTTATAAAAATCTTGCTTACCGACGTCGATCGAGTTCCTCGACGCGTTTCACTTCACCTTAAATTATGAAAGCAATTGTTTAATACCCTTTCGAAATGATGTACTTGCAAGCCCTAGTGACAATGGGTTTCCTTGTTGGCAGATCGAGTACCCGGAAGTGCACGGAGGTGGAAGGATGCATCGACCTCCACACCCTCATCCCATCACGGACCACCGTCAGGTGAACCTGGTCTTCGACGACACGGTAATTTACATTTTACACCCCGCCAACTCCCACGGACTCTCGTTCGATTCGATACGCCGTTTGACGATCTCTTCATCTTCTTGCCGACGTTGTTATTTATTCGTGTGCTCCTACAATCTTCCCACAAAGGTTGGCCGAATGCATCGTTTAAAAAGAAAAATATTTATAGAAATTAAAACTTACTTGATTTGGTATTAAGATACTCGGTAGAGTTTCGCGCCAAATATATATGTACATAGAGGCGCGAAAGTCAGATCTAGTCCTTATCTGCGATGTTTAGCCAGGCGCGTCAAACTGGGAAAAAAAAGAATGTCGTTTTATGAACTTCTTCGGTATAAGACGGTAATTGTTCACTGTTACGGGATTTCATTTCACCAAGAATTTTGGAACTCTAGGCACGAACGTGGTGTCGGCGGCTCGGGGAAAGCCACAGGTGGCGGGGGTCCTCGAGCCGCCCCAGGCGCGCTCTTGCGGCGCGGCCCTGAACTACCGCGAAGCGCGACTCACGTGACCTCCGTGCACGTGGAGAGGGGACGTCTAGTCTAGGTATACCACCGCACCGGGTTGACTCGGAGACGAGCATGGGGTGCGGTAGAAAGGGAGGGAAGGACTCGTTTTCGTGAATGAAAGTATTTCCACATTTCCCTTTTTTACCGTTCTTTCGTATACCCGACTCTAAACTCCAACGCGAAAATTGACAGCGTGGGGGGAATTCACAATCGCTTAAAAATACTCTCTTTAGTCGATGGATAATCACTATTTGTATTTCTATTCTTGGACATTTGTCGTATTAGTCGCCGAGTAGGTAATCGTAATGCCTTTCAACGAGGAATTGATTTATTCACGTTTTTAGAGGGACGGGAATCGTTCTAAGGTGTATGTGGATAGGAGACTCCACTGAGCGTATGAAATGCATTTCAGTGTATGCTCTTGGACGTATCGGTGGCTTGTATGGTATACTTTTCCCGTCTTTGGTTATGACACACCTCTTGCAACGTTCGTCCTTTCATTGTCGACCTCCTTAAGTGACGTTTCGAACCGATCCGCCCGTCCCGATCCATTTTAAAATTCCGCTCATCTAACTAATCCTTCGACTGCGAAGAGCACCTAGAGGCAGATATGAGTTGGGAGATCGCTAACAGCGGCTTATCCGGGGCAATTGAATCCCAGGGGTCAAGATATATAGGGTCAACGCATTTCTGGCAGAGATGATTTGCGCCACCATTGAGGGGTAACAGGTGGCAAGTACGTTAGCCGCCCGCACCCACCACGAGGGCAGCACAGGACGCGATCGCGCGACTCTGCCCGTGAGCAATCTCCCAACTCATCTCTGTTAGAGGACCCAGCGCTCAACGCTTAAAACGCCTTAATTCTGCTAGTTCCTTTCCACTGCTCCGAGCGATTCTTTTTTTCGAGTGCTTTACACTGAAAAGGTTAAAAATTACCTCGAAATAAAACAGTCGACTTTATGCGAAACGCTCGGGGGCCGCTGGCAAACGCGCAGGAGACAAGGCTCGTCTCCCGGTCGGCGAGTGGGGGGATCGCGGCGACTCACAGTCGAGCGCCGTGGCTCGGCGACTGCGCACACTCGCTGCGCAGTTCGGACCTCCACTCTGGCCGTACGGTCGAGGCTGGTCGCGCGGCTGCGCCCTGTCGGCCGACGAGGCAACGGTTCGCGTAGTGGAAAACAAGAGGCTACCGCGGATTAGGTGCACCTTTTGCGCGTAAACGAGCGGCGGTCGAGAGTGGCATGCCGAGAGGAGTCGGTTCGAAATGAAATTCAAGATGGCGCTGCCCGTCGAAGGGACCGCACGCGCGAGCTGACGCCTGTCACCAGTGTCACGAGTGCATCGCCCGCGAAGATGGACGCCTTCGGCATGTACCAAGTGAGTCGAGAGCCTAGGAGTATCCGGGAAGGAAGAAGGCGTCTCGAAACGGGCAAAACGTGGCAGGAGTTAAAGGCTGCTCGGGACGGTCTGGGATGATCTGTCACGACGCGGAGGGGCGTCCGGGCTCGGGGCTGCTGGAATGACTCTTTTAACACATGGAATCTTTCAGAATATCCTGGCAGAGGTTAACGTCAATGACAGGCCGCCGTGTTTTCCTTGGACGTGCGCACGTGTGTGGGTGGCCTTTCTCACGTGCACGTATGAGGGGAGAGCCGTGCGTGATGTCATGTCGCTGACCTAACCTTACTCGGGAGAGCGAGTAGTGCTCGCCCCAATCACGCCCATTCCGGGAATTTCCTCTTGTACATGAGAGGGAGCGAGGCTCTTGATGTTTCTAGATTTTCGTTCTGCAATATGCAGGGGGAGAGATGTTCGAAGAACGTCGCAGGAATTTTTCGAGGATGCAGGAGGGTACTTCGATGTCATGTTATTTGTTATCACTGGGTAATGCGATGCCGAGCATGCCAGTGATGGAACAATTTTGCCCTGACACGTTTATGTTTGTCTTGCGCTCCTCAATGTAGCTGACACTGCTGTCACATGTTCTCTGGGTGATTAATCCAGGACACGTCGGTCTACATTTAGTTCTTCCTTGACGGGGACAAAGTGGCGAGATGATATCCGTTGACGCATAATTAGATTGGGTCAGATTTCACAAGAACCTGGGAAAAATAATACTTCGGGATAATAATACTCTTAATATCCAGAGCGTTCGGCTCTGATTTGTTCTAGTTTTATGATCTTAAGTATGACAATGCGGTACACTTAAACTCTCTTATAATATGGTTAATTCATTCCATGTCGTATCGATACCACGTTGAGCAAAATGTAGAAGGAATACAAATCAGAGGAGTCTGCTTCGTGTTATATCGGAACCGTGTTCTCGGGTTTCTCGTATTATATAGAAACCATCTTGAGCAAAAACATAGAAGCATGTAGTTCAATCGATGGAGTGTTAGAAATCGTTACAGATACAACATGACAAATATATATTTTAGGACAGTGCGATGGAAAATTTGTGCTATACGATGGCTGTCTAGTTTATTCGGTCGCGCTGTATGGAAACAGTGTTATAAGAATATGTTATACGAGGGCAGTTGCAATTTTTCCAGCGTGTTGTAAGGGTTTTAAGTGTACCTTCATGTCCTATGTTATAGACATCAGTTTTAAACGATGGACTTATTTGTGTTACAGTTTTCACAGGGCCTGACGGGCAGGCCGGAGCTGTATCAGAAATCCAACAGAAGCAGCCACTCGAGCGACACGAGTTCTGCCTACAGCGGCTCCGACAACATGACGCCTGTACAGAGTTCCTTGGACGCGGACGCCGACGAGGTCGATCTTTCAGGTCTCGTCGAGTCCATAGTGGACAGCGACGAGGAGGAAGATCTTGCAGAAAGCATGGACGTACGTAGTCTCATATTCCTGATCACATAGGATCAACCGACCTTGTACAGATAGAATTTAGTAGTCTTTAGGTAAAGAAACTAACTTGGTAACGTTCCTTTCTTCAGAGCCTGAATGTTCGAGATACTGTACGGGAGTGTCTGGAGAAGGACCCTGTCGAGAGGACTGAAGATGACATCGAAATACTCCTCGAATTCACGCAACATCTGAAGGCCTTTACGAATATGACTTTGGCAGTGAGAAGAGCATTGTGTGCAGTCATGGTCTTCGCGGTAGTTGAACGTGCAGGGATGGTCGTTTTGAATGACGGAGAAGAGCTAGATAGTTGGAGCGTACTCATTAACGGGGCTGTGGAGGTTGAACACAGTAACGGTGAGGTCGAACAGCTGCACTTGGGCGATAGCTTTGGAATCCTCCCTACCATGGAGAGGCTACTGCATCGAGGTGTTATGCGAACCAAGTGAGCGAAACACTATTTCTATCTCGAACATTATCTTCAATGTGATAACGTAGTTAGGAATCAGTTTACTTACAATTGTTTAAGGTGCCTCCCTAGTTTCGACGGTCGAAAGGTAAAGTAATTTCTAGAAATTAGAGAAAAAGGAGCTGTACGTTTTACTAGCTTGAAGCTTTCTCAGTATATTTAATCACATTTTAAGACGATACCATATTTGTTTCTCAAAAAAAAAGAGTTGAATTGTTTCAGAGTTATACGTATATAAAATGCTGTTTGGAGGAAAACGCGTTTATAGTTTTACGTATACCTTTTTGTACATAAAATGTAATTTACAACACATCTTCGAAAATAGTTCTTATCGATCGATCAAACAAAAAGTGATTTTGGCGACCTTCAACCCTATGGAGAATCCTTAAAACATATACGTGTTAAAGACACGTGCAATAAGATTTATAATAATTTCAGATGCGACGACTGTCAGTTCGTTTGCGTAACACAAGCGGACTACTTCAGAATCCAGCACCAAGGCGAGGAGAACACAAGGCGGCACGAGGAAAACGGGCGGGTAATTTTAGTAACCGAATTGCGAGGTTCCTTGGACGGCACAACACGCCGGGGTCACGTGGTGATACGAGGAACGCCGGAACGCTTGATGTTACAACTGATCGAAGAGAACAGCGTGATGGATCTCACGTACGTCGAGGACTTCCTGCTGACGCATCGGACTTTCATTGACAGTCCGCTCCTGGTCGCGAGTCAGCTGTTGGAGTGGTTCGAACAGGCGCAAGTTAGGGATCGCGTGGCCAGAGTCGTCCTCCTCTGGGTGAACAATCATTTTACGGATTTCGAGACGGATCCGGCAATGATGGAGTTTCTGGAGGCTTTCGAGGCAGGTCTCGAGAGAGAGAAAATGCTCGGTCAGCAAAGGTACGAACACCGGTGAATTTATCAGGCCACCTGGTGATATCACTGGTTACGTTGTGCTGAAAAACGTTCTACTTTTAGATTATTAAATATTGCCTGCGCGGCGAAAGCGAGGACACGAAACGTGACTCTGGCGAGGCCCAGTAGAGACGAGGTCTTGCACTTCAGTATCCTCGGAGGCTTCGAGAGGGGTTATGGTATCTTTATTTCGAAAGTCGACAAACGCTCGAAAGCGGAGGACGTCGGCCTGAAACGGGGGGATCAAATTCTCGAAGTGAACGGGCAGAGCTTCGATCACGTGAATCATGCCAGGGCACTCGAGATCCTCAGGGGCTCAACCCATCTCAGCATTACCGTCAAGTCTAATCTTTTCGGTAATTGGATTATTCATATGAAAACCCCCATGTCAAGTATTGAACAAATGCCTAGACTACTTGCGTAAATTGAAGTATGAGCTTCTATGTTAATAGTTGAATACTCATCTATTTATCGAATGTTTTGCAGCTTTTAAGGAAATGTTACAAATGCCGGACAATTCGCCTAGGCCACGGGGACGAATAAACAAACCGGAGATTCCCAGGTTACCGACGGATCCACGTGCAAGATTATCGACGCACGTGGATCCTTTAACTCCGGTTAACTCGACGATCAATCCCCTGGTGGGTGGAGTACCCTTGTTGACTCCTGACAGCAACGTCTCTCCCTGCAAAGATGCGAAAAAGGACCACAAGGGCTTTATGACTTTGGGCCCTAAAAGGAGGTTACAGAAGGCACTGATGAAGATGAATATATTGCCAAAGAATACGATCAAGTGGGTAGAATGTTTTTTTTTTATCTATCTCTTTCCCTATAAACTTGTTATTTATTTGATACGTCTCGTGATCTTTCTAGCGATGGTGTACATATGGACGACCCTCTAGCACCTCCGCACACGCCGCCTGGAACAGGGCTCGCACAAACGACTAATCTTTATCATTCGAGGAGCAATCCTGACCTCACCTCGCTTTACTGCTACGATGACCTCCGTGCCTCCGATTATCCAGAACACGTCCTTAAAGTTTACAAGGCAGATCAGACTTGCAAGTACCTACTCGTGCACAAAGAGACGACGGCACATGAGGTCAGCAGTCATTACACTACCCACGCTTTTGAGTAAATATGAAACACTTGCGCTAACGTGTGATTCAAATGTTCATTATAGGTAGTAATGCTCGCGCTCCAGGAATTCGGAATAACGGAGAGCAGTTCGAATTTCTCTCTGGCGGAGGTCAGCGTCGGCGAAGGCGGAATGATCAAACAGCGTAGGTTGCCGGATCAGCTGCAAAATTTAGCGGAGAGAATCGGCTTGTGTTCGCGTTACTATCTTAAGACTAACGGCGTTTCCGAGACATTAGTAGCAGATGAACAAGCGCCCGAGCTTATTCGCGAGTCGCAAGTTCACTTCCTGCAGCTTAACGCGGTCGAAGTTGCGATTCAGTTGACTCTTCAAGATTTCAGCATATTTAGGTATTTTACCGTGGAATTATATATCTGATGAATTTCACGTAGTAGGTGATTATAATACATATTTTATTGTTTCTCTTTCCGTTAGACAAATCGAATCTACAGAATACGTGGACGACTTGTTTGAGTTGAAGAGTAGGTATGGCGTACCCATGCTCAGCCAGTTTGCTGAACTAGTCAATAGGGAGATGTTCTGGGTTGTGACGGAGGTTTGCTCGGAACATAACCTCGTGAGGAGGAGCAAAATTATTAAGCAATTCATCAAAATAGCGCGTACGTTCTGGTTCTCGTGTTAATACATTTACTCTACGTTTTACGATTTAGCATGTAATTCCGAAATCTAATGTATGCGTTGTAGGTCAATGTAAGGAGTGTAAAAATTTCAACTCGATGTTTGCTATTGTCTCCGGCTTGGGTCATGGCGCTGTATCGAGGCTGAGAGCGTCTTGGGAAAAATTGCCAAGCAAGTACCAGAGGTTATTTAGCGATCTTCAAGAACTCATGGATCCCAGTCGAAACATGAGCAAGTATCGCCAACTAGTTGCGTCCGAGCAAACTCAGCCACCTATCGTAAGTATCGCATCAAACCTTTTTACCAATTTCAGGAAATCGACACCTCTTTTATTAATCATCTCGTACTTTCTTTTTTAGATTCCTTTTTATCCTGTGGTTAAGAAGGATCTCACGTTTATCCATTTGGGTAATGACTCGAGGGTAGAAAACTTGGTGAACTTTGAGAAACTTCGCATGATTGCTAAGGAAATTAGAACATTGACCAACATGTGTTCTTCGTCATACGACTTAGTGACTATGTCGGAGAGAAGTAGTCAGCCACCTAGTTCCGCGATGATCGCCTTAAATCAGATGACTACGGGGAATCAAGGTAAGGAAAAAAGTCGGCGATACATTTGTACGAAAGTGTGGATACGTTGTACCTTCTGTAACTCGTAAATTGAATGCTTTTAAACGATATCTCATTTCTTAAAACGAATGAGTGAACGTATGATACTTTTAGAGATTTCAAAATGGACCGGACATCCTTCGCTGAGAATTTACACACCTTGCGATTGAAAGTCCTTCACGTTTGCAATACCGACATCGCGAATTAATACACGTTATGTGGATTTATTACAGGTGGACAAACTGCGACTGTTAAAAGGCGTAAAAAGTCTACAGCTGCTCCAAACCCGAAGAAGATGTTTGAAGAAGCGCAGATGGTGAGGCGGGTGAAAGCGTATCTTGCAAACATGAAGGTGATTACGGACGAAGAGCGATTGCACGCCCTCTCCGTAGAATGCGAGCCACATGCAGGAGCTGTCGCAATGGCAGCTGCGGTGCCACTAAGTGGAAGTCGAGGAAGGAGACACCCCTCGCCAACGTTATCCACGACTAGTAGCGCGAGCAGTACCAGCGAAGGAAGGAAAAGTATACAAGGTAGTCGAGCTGTGATTAATTATTCGGTTCTGCCTCGACCTTTTCATTCATTACCCCATGATCGTTAACCGACCTGCAATAAAATGACCATTGAAATTCTACTACCGTAGGTACGAAATTTGGAGCAGCGTCGCCTCAAGCAGTGAGGAAGATGCTCGCCTTGTCCGATCCTCACAAAACTCGACCTTACCAACCTAAGCACTGTCCACCCCCGCTCCCCGTCCCCGGGCTCGCTTTGCACTCCACCGGTTTGGAGCCGAGCCCTGGAGCACCTCGAAGAGTTGGCTCCGGTAGCAGAGTCCCAATGCATGAACGGTCTCACAGCGACACTCCTTCAGGACTTCCTCCTCCTGTGGATCTTAGCGCCGAGAGCAGCAGCGTGACCAGTCTAAGTAACCTCCAGCCGTTACGAAAGACCCTGACGAGTGGTAAGTCTAGTCGATCTCTTCCATTATTTTTTAACTATGCTCAGAAATGAGTAGCGGCCGTCGTGAATTCCTGGCCATTAAATGGGGCCAGTCAAGCGGACGGCTCGCCACTCGTTTTTAGCATCCATGCACATCCGTTGCTCGATATCCACGGGGTCGGGGTTTTGTACGGAGTCTCCTTTGTTCTGCACGCTGCACAGCCGTTTATGCAATTCATAAATGTTCCATGTCATTGCGTCTTATTCATGCACACGCATATATATATATATATCTCTCTCGCAAGCTGGAAAGTGCGCTCTATTCATTCGATAAACGCCGAGGCCTCGATATATCTTGGTATCCTCTCACCATGGGACATACGGACGCACGACATTTTTCCAAATCCTGTCATTAATTTCAGATATCTATAACGATATTCAGAGATGCCTATGACTCTTTCAATGTTTACACACCCTGGCAGTGCCCGGACGCCGGATCGAAATTGCTGGTGCAGCGCAGAATGAGTCAGATCCCTCGACACCTAGTCACGCTTAAATAGCTGCAGTAGCCGCTTGTAGAAAGTTAATTAGACATCCTCTCGTCGCGATTCGGTTATTAGGTCGACGCTCTCAAACCAATTAAGAATTGGAGATCCTTGGGGCGAACAATGAATCTTGAAAGTGCTCGAACCGAGGGCACGACCACGAAAGAGAGACAAGCGTTCCGTATAGTTAAGAAGCGGTCTCTCTCGTGCCCGCAGGTTGTTAAACAAAAAATATAAAGCAAGGTAAATGTTCGCAGATGATAAGACTATCGATAGGAGGACGGATGAGCAAGAAAACTTCCGCTTTCACTTGAGCGTCAGGAGTTGACAAGACTCCAGACTTTATTTCTACTTTTTCTTTTTTTTTCTTATTTTTCATTCCTACGATCCGATTTCAGTATTTCATAGGATTCGGTAGGAGCTTTTCGGATACGTGCTTACACTTTAGCCACTACTTTTTATAGTTTTCGTAGGGAACTGCCTGAAACCGCGACGCGCATATGTCTGGACTCGAGAGAGCCTTTGTTGAAAAATTAATTATAATCAAGTTTTATTTGACAACGAGTGCTAATTCATGTTTCTGATTAACACCTAGGAGCGAGGTGGCGTCAGGCCAATTAAGGAACGTATAGTTTGATCCTCATGAAGCCATTATTAACCGAGACCGATCATGGGTGTTTTCTTGACAGAAATGAGTTCTTTTGAGAACGATCAGTGGCAACTCGTTCCCCGCTGCGTTAAACGTCATCTGCACCCTTTCACAGACGTTTCTATAAGATACTATTTAAACGTGCAACTATCAACGCGGTTAACAATAATTCCACCTTCGTATTCATCTTCTATTTAGGATTGAATCTTGCCGTTAAATCAAAATATCTAAAAGTGAACGTCAAACCAAAGGAAAGGAATTGAAATCGCGCGTTTATTCTTTCTCATCTAAAAGAAAAAAAAAAAAAAGGAAAACTCAACGAATGAACACGAAATAGACGTTGGAAGTTTTCTACGATTCACTCCTTACGAAACTAACTCCCGTTCCCATCCTTTGCAATAAAGGGGAATAAAAATGTCTGAAGGAATAAGTGACCTCCCCAAGTCGGACATATTCGCGCAAAAGTTGCGGACCCGTGTCCGCCCGCCGATTTGGAACGATAACGAGATTTAAGATGACATCGGGGTGTAACCCTTTCGGGGGAGAAAGCCACCCTCGAGTGGCAAGGGGTCGATTAATCGGCATAGCGTAAAATATGTCTAGGGAATAGGAGGAATCTCGGGTAGGATGTAATGACCCTAGCTATTAGCCGCCCAGAGGGAAATCTAGGAGCTCGCGAGGAGAGATTGCCTCGGCTGGTACTCGTAGTGATAGAAGTGTGTTTGGGGACGTGTGCGTAGGTTCGGTGACGAGCAGTGACAGCGGTCACAGCACGCAATTGGACAGCCATAGCGGGAGCAGCGTCGAGGCCGGTGGAAGTCCTCCGCCTCCTCAGAGACGGCACTCCGGCATGCAAGGTACGTACCCCTTCCCCACCCCCCTGTAAATAGTTTGCTCTGATCAGCCTCCGGTACCTCTCGTATCCTGTGTTCTCTTCTACGATACTTTGCTGAGTAGTTGTCGAGTAGCGTAGCGGTAGAGCCAGAGTCTCGCGAGTCCCTCGAGGAGCGTCAATCGAGGACCCTTGAAAGAGCTTGCGAATGCGGTCGAGTGAAGCCACTTTGAGTGGTACACTGGGAGACATCAATGCCCTCCCATCCTGCACAGGCGATGTCGTACCTGCAGGGGAGGCATTCATGTCCACAATATACACTGGGAGACATCAATGCCCTCCCATCCTGCACAGGCGATGTCGTGTCTGCAGGGGAGGCATTCGTGTCCGCCACCTGTACCTTATCACGGATAAGGACCCGAATGGCACTTTACTCGGGGCTCTAGGCGCTTTCCGTCCCTCGGGGGGTAGATACCGAGGATAAGGATGGGATTCAATTTGGGGTGGTAGGAAATGAGATATACCCCGTTAAAGAAAGAAATTCATAAAATTCATACCCTTTTAGTACATAAGGTTCCAGTGAAATTGTAAATTTCATGTCTTAACAGTGAATCGATACATCATTTATCATGAGATTCTAAGTAAATTTACAATTTTATATCACCGTGTTCGTAGTTCTTGTGAAATTCCGGAGAGAAATTATAAGCTTGACATTCGACAGTCACTTGGTACGCATGGTTTGCAAATTTGTTTAGATGAGTCCTTAATTTTATCACCGTTTACGTAAGTTCATTTTTAAATAAATTTAATCGAATGATAAGGAAGACATGTCGAATTTGTTTGTTTGCAGAGAAAATGTTTAATATCAAGTACCGAGTAAGATACGGAGGGTGGGATTGAGAATGGAGGGGTTTCTGTTTTTTTCCACCTTTCTGATAGTGAAACGATTGACCTTATCCTTATCTACGCCCCGGAGTGGACGGAAAGCGGCGAAAAGGGTGCCGAAAAGACGAGATAAAGAAGACGTTCGCTCTATCGGTCCAGACGAGAGCCTTTCTCTCTCGCTTGGGGTCGTAAATGTATTCCTGTACAGCGGTGAATCCTTTGCTCCCGAGTCGACGTCCCAGAGCCGGAAACGTATGTCCCATGGCTATGTTTCTTTCGGCAACCTGACCCCCTCGCATACATCTTGGGATCCTCCGTCTCTTTAAGCGTATCCGTCATCGCCACTTTTATATACGTCCATTAAGCCTCGTTTATACATTCGGATGGTGTCCCAAAAGAGTCGCTCGTTTTCGGCCCACCTTCGCGTCGTCATATCTCGCTTAGATGCTTTCCGTAATTTACGAATCGCTTATACCAATCGCCTCCCGATGGGATGTCTGTCCATCGTTTATGCTTTGGTCCCGCTTTCCCGCCCTCGATTGCCCGAGAAAGAAATATAAAAAAAAAAAAGAAAGAACCTTTCCCCCTCGACTTCCGCAGTTTCACTCGTCGAGCTACTCGGTCGTAAAACTTTCAAGACGCGCATCGACAAGCGGGGACGGTACCGCTTTTGCCATAATTGTAGCTGCCAAAGGAAACTGCCTGCTCACTTTTCTAAGTACTTTGCCATACACCTTGAGGAGTGGCTTCAAAGGGTTAAAGACATAGGTAATCTTTTTGGGCGACGCACGTTTTCTATGATTAATTCCAACGATACGGAGATAAGGGGTGATCGATATACCGAGGGAAGATTTTCTGATGGAACCGCGTTGGTTGACTTTTCATTTTACTCCTTGTTCTTTTGAGTCGCGCCGAAAAGAAGGGGGTGTCACGATGGAACGGTGACTTTTAACCCATTTGAAGTCACGAAACATTTTTTTTTTATCATAGAGAGAATTTGCAGACAAAGTCACTGAGGTAGGAGTGTCCAATAGTTTGGCTTTCCTATGTAAAGTAGATAATTCATGGTATAGTTTACGTACGTAAAAAAATTTCCTCCTTTTTTCATATTTATCATGTTCCACGAGCGCGTTATATGGGGTACAATGTGTAGTTAAGAATCACTGCGATAGAGCATACACCTATCAGGGAGTGTTACGGTACATTTGCTGTTTTGTCGGGTATTAAACTCGGCTTGAAGTCTAATCGTAGCTCGCAGATTGAAAGAACTTTTTGGGGTGGGAAGTAGAGCGGAGCAGGAATCCCTAGATGGGAAAATCGGGACCACGGGACTACTTTACTTTCCCCTCCGTTTTTTATTTTTTTTTCTGTATATTAATGGACCCGTAGAAAATTTCTACCCTGTTCCGAAACCTCGAGGTCGGTCTTCCGAATCCTTGATCCGTAAACGAGAGTCAGTTCGATTTGAAAATGGAGGAGTCGGAGGTAAAAATCGTATGTGGACTGTGTGTGGTGCAGGGTCAGTTATGAGGGGTGGAGTCCCCCCGTTCCCCCACGCGGTAGCAGTGTTGCCTCCGCTTCCTGCCAACCACAATCAGAATCACAACCACCACAACCATCTTCATCATCACCAACACCACCACCACTATCATCACCACCACCAACCCCAACCTCCTCAAGGTGAGTGCGATTGCTTGTTTGCGCTCCGACCGCTGCGCTGGCTTCCTCTTCCGATTTGCAGATCTGCTCTGTCGCCGCTACCGCTGCCGTTGCTTCGCCTCTCTGCTCTCCTCTCCCTTATGGAAATGGTCATCCTTAAGGGGGATGTGAAGGTGGCATCCGAAAGCTCAATAGTTCATAAAACTTTTCATAGAACTAGTTGTCTCAAATAATTTCATATTTTAAAACGTGAATATGGAGACCCTAAGGTAGCTCCTGAAACTCTCGAAATTTCATTTTTTACGAACTATTTTTAAAATACCTATAAAGAAATTTGAAAAGAATTGAAGTTTCATGAGTTTCAGGACCTTCCTTATAGTCTTCCTATTCACGTTGTAAAGTTTCAAACTATTCGGTAAACCGAGGTGGGAGAAAAGTTTTATGAACGTAACCTCTTCGACGCCACTTTCACATCACCTTAAGGTGACATGAAAATGTCATTCTATGTACAGGGGATAATGGAACTCGTAGTCACGGTTTATACAGCGCGATCCTTGTTGAAAAAGGAGTCGAAAAGTCCTGTAGCATTTTTTTCTACAGTGCATAAATTTCCTGTAATAATCATTGTATTGCTCTTGTGTACTAAGAGCGAAAAAGAATTTCAGGGAATACTTTTAACAGGGTAATCTGGGTCGCCATCTTGAAAATTACGCGAGACGTTCTTATTCTTTGACAAAGTCTCCGATCAGATGTTTTACTTTGAAAAAACCTTAGGCGCGATTAACGTGGACTAAGCGAGAAATGAATCCTTAATTTTCGTAACAATATGACAGCTTCATCCTGCTCCTCGCTCTTTAACGTCTTCGAATCGCATTGTTGTTTGTACGTTCGGTAAGAGATGACTAACAATAAGGGTGCGTGCACGCTCGGGATTCGTGTAAGTATCGAGTGCTTTTGCGTGGGTAGAATTACGTGGAATGCATTGAGTGTGTAATTGGTTGTACAGCGTGACTCCGATCTTTGTCCGTGCCTGTTGCTCGTGTCTGTCGGCTGATTAATAGACCCGTTTTCTTCCAGGATACTAATAAAAGGCTGGGGCATATCTATCGTACTTTCTTGTACGCCCGGGGTTTAACATTGGTAGATTGTTTTAAGCCCGACCCTTCCCCTTCTCTCCCGATCATTCCGAGATTTTCCCGTGAGAATAGCGTGCTTCTAAATTACCGTAGTCAGCCACCGAGGATAATATTAGGTATCCTCATTGTTTTGCAATACTTCCGCCAAGATGGCCGCACAAGGGGATCGGCCAATTATTCCGACGCGCGCTTCTTCATTCAACCGATCTATTAAACATCGCTTTATGATCTAATTTTCCACCCTAGCGTTTCCACCCCAACTTGCAGGGATTTTTCGATTGTCAAGGGGGTAAATTGCATGGCGCGTTTTTTTTTCTAACATGGGAATAAATTTCAATGGATTGTTGACTGGAAAGCAAACGTTAAATGGCCGATGGTAGATACTGAGTCGTGCGGCCATCTTGTTTAGAGGGTTTTCCATCTTTCTTCCGTTTTTCACCTAGAACCAGAGTCCCGACCCTGATAGTTTTAACGGAGGAACTAGTTTATGCAAAACAGAATCCCTTAACCCATTCGACCTCGGTGATTTTAAAGGTATTAGATTTTTTAGTTATTTAGGGAAACTTTGAACCGGAATTTCGGCCTAACGAACGAGGTCGGCGATATCCGTTTCGTTTAACCCTTTGCACTCCTTTGGTCGAGGGTTACTCGCCATCAGCAATCGATATATCAATAATTGGGAGTGTAAAGGGTTAATTTACAGCTTTGGGAAATTGCGGATACAGTAAAGTAGAGAGTAGTACGCTTAGTCCGGCTTGCGCTTACCTTAAAATGTATGGGTAACTTCTCTAAATAAGTTCGTTAATTTTACGACCGTTTCTTGGCTCTCCATTTTGTTTTTTACTTTTTTCCTTTCAATTTTTTAACTGCTCTTTTTCATTCACGAATCGGAACTCGAGTCTCTACGGATCGTGTCGAAATTTCATCACGGATAGACTTTTTTTCAAGTACGTTTGTCTTTGCTAATCGTTGTGTTAGTGATAAAACGATAACGCGATAATGCATTAACGTTTGATCGTTTTTGTAAGATCAAGATGTACAGGGTGTCCCATCCCCGAAACTGATGGAAATTGACGAAAGTTCTCTCATTATATTTTCATTTAACTTTTTCTTTGATTTTCAGCTTGTTGTTAAATTAATTATTTACCAAATAATGACAATTTAAATAATGTTTGAACAATCCAAAAGTGGAGTATAAGCATGAATTAATGAATACCGTCTACAACTCGTTCTTTTTTTTTTTTGCAACTTCAGGAAACGAAGTATCCTCGGTATAACGTGAGACTCTCCCGAGTTATTCAAATGTTCTACCTCAAATAATTGCCATTGCATTTTCATTATCGTCACGATACCAAATTATTGCATCGCCAGCTTCTATTGTTAATAACTCGGTAAACGATCGTCCTAGAGAAAAAAAATAGAAGAGGAACTTTCGGCTTCGAATTTCCCCGTCATTTCCCAGTTTGGGTTTCGGGACACCCTGTGAAGTCCTCCTCCACCCAGGAGGCTGCGGAACAAACTAGAGTCATGTATCGAATAGCCTTCTTACTGGAAAAAAAAAAGAACAAAAAAATGTCTCGAAAAAAATAGAGCAGACGAGGGTCGAAATGGTTACAGCGAGCGTGTCGCCAGGGTCGGTACTCTTGGACATCCTTGATCCTTTTCCAGAGAGCCTTTTCTCGCGGCCTCGATCCTGACTCGCAGATGGAGAACGAGAACGAGATAGTGGAGGGTTTTCAGGTCCTACCGGGATGGGAGTCGGATTGGGAATGGGCCTCTCAGGGATCCAGCTGCCGCCCGGAGGAACTACGACTGTTTTAACGACGATGACGACTACGACCATGACGATGACGAGTGCTCGACCAGGCGGAGTCGCGCACTGTCGTCAGCCTCCGGCCTACAAGGTGGCCGCGCAGATGGCGAGGCTCCACAGGCTCGGCCGCGCTCACAGTCACGAGGGAGTGACCTACCGCAACGACCACGAGGATGGTACTGCAACAACCCTTTATAGACGCGTCAACTTCACCTCTCGTCATTCTCCAACGTGAACCGCGTACCTCTAACCTGACCTCCGATTTCTGCACTTTGTATCTTTAAGGTGATACGAAAGGGTCGTTATATCTATACGGAACGTCGAGATATTATCGGTTAAATAAATTGGTCGAGTCATTTGAAACTTCATCACGAGATCACGGAGACTCTAAGGAAGCTCGTGAAATTTAATTTCTCGAAAAAAAAAAAATATATATATATTTGTATTTATCCTCGACGAGAACCAAAGAAAGATATTTTTTTTTTTTGTGAAAAATGAAATCTCACGGACATCGCTTTCTTCCTTAGGGCCTCCATAATCAAGTGTTAAAGTTTCAGATAATTCGGTGCGTCGAGTATGGAGATGTTTTATCAATATTTGGATGTTCCGATATGTAGAACCCATCAGCTTAAGGGGATGTGAAGGTGGCGTCGAAGGATTCAGTTCGTGAAACTTTTTCTTAATGTTGGGTGTACCGAATCGATTCACACTGTACGATGTACATACGGAGGGTATAAGGAAGGTCCTGAAACTGGTAGAATTTCTGTTTTTATTAATTTGTTCATAGATCTTTTTTAAATTCCTTGTCAAAAATGAACTTTCACGAGTGCCAGGACCTTCCTTATAGCCTTCATATTCACCTTGTAAAGTTCGATACGATTCGGCACATCCAGTTCGCAGAAAAGTTTCATGAACGATTGACTCTCTTCAGATGCCGCTTTCACATCCCCTTAAGGTGACGCTAAAGGAGCTTTTGAGGGATCAATCGCTAATTTATCAATTTTTCTCTGGACTGGGTGCACCGAATCGCTCGAGATTTTACCTCGCGAACTTCGAGGCCACGAGGAAGGTCTAGACACTCAGATATTTTATTATTTTAAATTTTCTTTGTAAACCCTTTTTGTTTTGTTTTTAAACACCTTCTTTAAATTTTTTTTTAAGAAGTAAAACTTCGTGGGCGTCGGGAACTTCCTTAGGGCCTCCACATTCACGTGGTGGAATTTCAAACGTTTCGGGTAGACCCGGTTCAGGAAAAAGTTTTATAAACAATTGACCCCTCAGACGACACTTTCGTCTCCCCTTAAGCTTCGACTCTTTAGAACGGTGGTTCTTAACCGATGGTCCACGAATTTGTCACAAGCGCTTCGTATATTGTTCTGTGGTATGTATTATACGATTCTACGACTCGGCAAGTAAAAAAGGAAAGAAGGAAATTTTGTTATTTGCGCATACGAATTACGTTATATATTTTATATGCGGCCAAGATAATTAAAAAGATCGGGCACTTTTAACTTAGTGAATCTGAATGAATACTTAGTAGTCCGCAAATTTTCCGTAGGGTTAAAAGTATTCCCTATAATGGCAAAATAAGAACCACTGTTCTAGGGTGCCTCGACATTTTTTGGCGATTTTTACCCCACGAAAGTTTATCGATTTCGCGTCATTTTCTAGACGTTTTCTGGAACAAGTGCACAGAAATCTGAGAAATTTGGACACCTGATTGTTCGAATCTGTTCGCAAAAATATTGGATGTTATTGCAATTCGCAAAGTCTTCAGGTGGCCGAATAAAGCGCCACTTGTTCTTTCGCTGTGGTTAATTAGCATAAGTTTCTTCAATAATGGATAATATTGGTTGCGACGTACAAGTGTCGAAGTTTTGAAAGATATGCATTGACTTAAAAAAAAAAAAAAAAAAAAGACGAGAAATTATTAGATATAATTATTTATTATTAGATATATGAAAAGAAACTTACAACGCACAACTATTCATTAGGACTTTAACGTCGTCCTTAGACGAGAAAGATGCCTGTAAATAATTCAATAATCTTGCCATATGTGATATCGCTGATAGGTTATATAACCAATTTGCATACGATGTGTTGTATGTGTGTGTGTATATGTGTCGCTGTGTATAGATACTTTGTGTTGTAATCACATTACCGTTACCTGCAACGCTGCATCATGTAATTGTCACTCATTATTTCACTCAGCACTCGCTCACAAGCTTGCAATCAGCAGCCTGCCATTGTGATGACATGATTTCAGTTCCTGCCTGTGAAATCATTGTTTTTCAACTTGCACTTGGAAACGAACGAAAAAAAAAAAAAACGCGTTCTAAGTTTGCTTGATTTTGCACGGTTTGGAGCTCGAACATCGTTTTGGCCACTCGGGCATTATATAAATCCAAAGCATTTCGTTCTGTCAAAGGTAAAACGGAAAAGCTGAACCTGATGTATATCGTAGATCATGATCTACTGATCGAAACCATTGATCTAAACCCGATGAATGGACGCTAAGAAATTTAATCGACGTCGATAAAGTAAAATCTGTACCCTTTTTGGGGGAAATGCCGTTTTGCACCCTCAAGTGGTACCATAAGCTGTCCCATTGCCGACATTTACATTTATATTGGAGTCTTTCACCGTCTACGTTGAGAATTATACGAACTGAAGGGTTCTACGTGTCATTTCGGTAAAATAATGATAAAAAGATCGATGTCAAACTGTCGAAATCCCGTGAATTCGTGATTTTTGATACTTCAACGGACCACTGGCGCCACGTGTGACGTTTAACTAGAACTAAATGTTTGCTCTGAAAACAAGCCAGCATTCTCTTGCAATCGTTGGTGAAAGTATTTACCACATTTTCCCATCTGACTCTGGAATATTCCTACGGTAGTCTAAATTGTTCGAGCTAGGTCCTGAAACCCTTCATTTTCGATTCTAAGCCTCCGAGAAGCGTAAAACATCGAGAACGTGCCCGGGCCCCGCCATGTTGGCTCTAGTCCATGATAAGTAAATCACTCTTAGATGAAAAATGAAATTTCATTAGTTTCAGGACCTACATTAGGGCCTTCATATTCACGGGATAAAATTTGAAACGAATCGGTACACCCTATTCGGGGAATACTTTCCCCAATGATTAGACTTCTCAGACATATAGGCTGACTCTTTCATATCCTCTTAATATACATCAGGCCCAGTAAAATTCACCATACGATCATTGCTGGGTCCTTTCAGGCCGACAAAGTTCCGATAACAGAGCCGAGATATCTGCGGTAACTCTTATCGTAACACTAAACCGATTCGTTGCCGTTTAGCTATGTGATCGTTAAATCTGTTTCAGACGACGACGACGCCCAAGTATCAGCAGTTTAAGTCTTCCCGGTCACCGAGCAACGACTCCAGGACGATTTTAGTTAATTCCCCAGAACCACGAGATACTCTCCTGCGTTAATTTGAGAACATCCCCCGAAAGTACCGCCTTCGAAAGTATTATCGCCGCATACGAAAAGACGCCGACTGACGTGTGTGCACTGGGAGACATCAATGCCCTCCCATCTTGCACAGGCGATGCCGTACCTGCAGGGGAGGCGTTCATGTCCGCCATTGTACGTAGAGACGTGCCGTTTTAGTTAAGACGTTGGCGTGATAACGCTAACCGATTGCGATAAGAAGCGCGGCATGAACCACGCGACTCCCTCGCGGGGAGATGTCCTTTAAGAGTTGGATCCGGTAATCCGGGAAACGGAGGTAATTGCTTGCCAATTTCCTGGGAACATTCAATTACGTCGCCATGGGACCCTCCGTACTGTCCTAGGTGGAGGAAAAACGGAGATCTCGAGGGGAAAGCACACCGGAGTAATCGGGGAGATAAAGAGAAAACCGGCGAAGTGATTTCGCTGTTTATTCGCTCTACCGCCAACGGCCGAACGTTAAATCCTCCCGAAAAAAAGGACGAGCGAGTAATACCTTCTCTAAACGTGTAATAAATCGAGCCCAAAGATGTTATATACTGTGTACCGCCTAGCGAACGGCGTTTGTATTATATTAATTTTAGGTTAGCCTCTGAAAAGCTCCGTAGCCTGTAAGTTGGTGTAAATAGTGTGTAGCGCCTTATGAGTTCTTAGACACGAGGACGAGGAGAGTGGATCTATTATGTTTTAGGCTTACAGGCTCGCGTAATCGCCCTGCGTCAAGAACGTCGATTTTACGATTCAACTTTACGAGACGAGCTCGTTCTTGACGCCTCCTGGGGATTAATTCGATGGAAAGACATTGTTAAAGTATATGCAAACAGCTAGACGCTGCCATCAATGTCGCCGACAGGATGAGCGAACTCTTTTAATTATTTATATTCCTAGGTTTTTCTTCCTTTTTTTTTTTTTTTTCTTTGGGTACGTCAGTACGTATTTTTTATATCTCCTTTTATCGCGCGCGGGGGTGTAACGCAGCGAATACAAATGTGCCCGACATGATGTCAATCAGGATTTTCCTTTTTATGGTTTTTCCCTTTACTAGAACTCGGTGAAGGTAAAAGAGTCAAATGCCGACATAGGGTTTTTCTAAGACACATCGAGTTCACTTAGTTGTTCACGACAGGGTTCACTGTCTTCGCAAAACGCTGATCGGCACGAGGGAACGTAGAACAACAGTGAAGTCGCATATTAATTAATAGTTTGCTCTCGGGCCGACGTTTCGTATCTTCAAGATGCCTTTATTTCATGCACACGAATTCACTGTATTCAAATGGAAATGATTAAGTAACGCTGCTTTTTAAAAATGTTCAAGTAGACGAAGATTGACACCACAAGAACCGAATTACGTAAAGCGTTTCATACAATCAGAAGGAATGAACAATGGTTTTAACGTTTAAGAAGCAGGGTGAAACTACTCGCGATACTGATGACTAACTTTTGTATTCTCTTTTACTTTTAATCCGAATTGCTTTCTTTTAAGCTAAGGAGCGAAAAGTAGCTCCTCAAATTCAAGCAAACTGCATGCACAGTGCAAATCGTATTACCTTATTCAGTTGTTCTTATCGATACGGGGTGACAAAAATGTTGCATTCGTTTTCTTTGAGGATTCTCCTATCGCTCATTGACAGAGGTTCAAGCGCCTAGCTTTAAAGGGCCCTGCTCGGTTTACCGAGCAGAAGAATTCAGCTTTTCCTCCCAGTAAAGGATAAAATCAAATTGAGGCTTTTAGTATTTATTTAATAATATTTAAGGAATATTTTACATATATATCTATTTTTTTTTAATACGTTTAATATTTCCGACATCTGCAGGATAACATAGATTGATGAAATCCCCCGTTTGAAGCACGTTATGTTTGGGAAAAAAAGATGCGTTTAAAGCTCGAAGCTAAGTTTTCATATACGTTTATGAGAGAAATCCTTCCTGATCTCCGTGTTGCTTCATTGACGAAAAGGGAGAAAAGTTGAATTTTGTTTCCCCATCTAAATCAAGCAGGGCCCTTAATGCAGACTTTATCCATTAGCGGTATTTAAGGGGATGTGAAAGTGGCATCTGGGGGTCGATCGTCAACGAAACTTTGCGTTGAACAAAAGGTGTACCGAATTGATAGAAAATTTCCACCATGAATGTGGAGTCTATGAAGGAGGTCCTGACACTCGTGGGACTTCGTTTCTTATAGAAAATTTTAGAAATACCAAAACAAATTGAATAGTAATTGTAATTTCATGGGTGTCGGGAGCTTCCTTACAGTCTCCGTATTTAGGTTGTAAAGCGTGAGACAATTCGATAAACCCAGTTAGGAGAAAAGCTTCATATAGGAAAACTCTTCAGGGCCACTTTCACATCACCTTAAGGGCGGAGAAATTCACGATAGAGCGAGCCTGCCTGTATACGATGGATCGTGCAAAAGGGCCTAACCGGGGCACCACTCCTTCCCGAAATCCACCGAGAATGTCAACGATTCGTCGAGGCTCGGACTGAAGGTCTCGGAAAAGAAGATAGCTCTCGATCGATTTCACCAAATCGACCCTCAGATTTCCTTCCTCTCTTCATCTACCCGTTCTATGAACTCGCGGGGTCATTTGAAGAAGGGAATTCGACTGGCCGGTCGAAGACTTAGAGTCTCGTAGTCTCGCCGATGTCCCTTGACAAGCCTCTGCCAATCCTCGAGGAATCGACATCTCGAAGTCGGGGATTTCTACGGCGATTCCCTCGGGGTTGTTAGACTCCCGCGTATATATATCTCCTTGTACATATCCGATTACCTTTTAACTAATAATCTACTCTTGCGAAAATGATGTTCTTCATCGTGACGATCCTCGTCGCCACTGTCGTCCCATCGCGTTGGATCTTAAGGAAAAGACTACTAACCCTTCCCTTTGTTGCGAGGTGATAACGACTGCAATGATGGCTTTACTTCTCCTTTATGGGGACTCGTACCTATTGCCGATGATAAAGATACCCAGTCTTCATATGGATACAGAAAGGGAATTAATTTAAATACAGCTTTACCGTCTTATTGACCATACTTTTAAGTATACATTGACATAATTATTTGTCGTTTTACATGATAATATTTGTTGCGTTGAAGAAAACCGTATTTTGGCGTACATTGTTGGAAGTTTTCAGAGTAGATATTCCGCCTTTAGAAGAGGGATCGTAACGAGTACCTCCTCAGAAATGACCATTTTCATTAATTTCTGATACCATTCAATAATCATTTAAAAAAAAGTCAATTCGTTATCATAAAAAAAATGGCAACAAAACATTACAGGATAATTAGAAGTTTGAGTATTTTTCTTTCCGGATAGTTGTCAGGGGTTATTTATACAGCCACATATTCCATCAACGTCTACGCGAAATATCAACAATTCGGAAATAAATCCTGAGATGTCTTGCGATAAAAAGCACCCAAGAGTGGTACTCTTTGGAAGATGACTAAGTGTCAAAGTAGCTTTTTATGTAAAATAATGACGTTTACCTAATTATCAAAATGTTTAAACCGTGTTTACATGTCGCGTTTATTTCTTGTACCTGTCGGAAGGACCGGTATTCTTAACAAAGTCAATGGATACGAGCCCTCGAATTATACGTTTTACCAGTCAAGCATCGCGAGATATATACCGTTCATTCCAGGTGCATTTAACGAGATTCGACGATGGGGAAGGAAACGCGAAGATCCGCTGCGTTTCTCTTCCGTGTACTCTAGGCTATCTTACGTAACGTTTGTAAATTACTCCCCGTTTTCTTTTTTCTTTTTTTTTTTCACATCGGCGCAAATCACTCCAGGCCCATCCCGCGATCGTCTCCCCGGAATATCTGTCAGTCTCCGCCTGTATATTCACGAGTTCTTCCCTTCGGTCCCCTTTCACGGCGTTTCCATGTAACGATTCGTTTTCTATCCCACCGCCGTCTCTACTCTTACGCCGAGAGATTCGGCCCTGGGGTCGGAAATTGCGAAAAAATGCAGTATTCAATGTCAAGACGTCTCCCCACTCGTGTATATGACCATTCGTCGAATTCCCGCTGATAAGGTGCGCTCTAATCGCTCGTGGACCGAGCCAAACTCTGCCGAAAGCTTTCCGAATAGAGAATAGAAAAAGAGACGCTGGTTGGGACACGATACCGATTTCTAATCGAACACGAAGTGGGGTTCCCCCCATTCTTCCTTCACGTCCACCCGTGCAAGCGCCTGGATTATTCGACAGAGGCGTGTCAACGACGAAAGTAGAAAAGACAAAGTACAATGGAGCCCTCGTTAAGTGGACCATCGAGTTCGTTTTAGACTAAATTAATCGCCATTAGCCTTGCGTCGCGTACAAAGCAAAGACTCCGTATTTTTTTTCTTCTTTTTTTCTATCGTATTCCTCCCGATGGAGAGGCGCGTTCTCCAAAGGTGATCTCGACGTTTCCGTCGCGAGTCCATTTCCGTATTTATAACCGTTCCCGTCGTTTTAATTATTTATATAGGACTCCCCCGGGAGCGAGCGGGAGAAAATCCAGAGAGAGAGAGAGAGAGAGAGATGTCACGACGAAGGAAGGGAAACGGCTAAGCGCACCACCATTCTTAACCGACGGCAGAGATAGATTTGTATTTAATTTTGTTTAATAAAAAAAGAAGAAAAAGAAGAAAAAGAAAAATTCGAGAGAAGGCATAGTACAACAAGCTGGGAGATTCGCTCGAGGACGATGCATGCTTCGATATCGCTCTCGCGATTATGCTCCTTTTTCTGGACGGGCCGCAAACGCGTGGGAGCTAAAACCACTGTTACGTCGATTCTTCTACACCGGAAGACCGTTTAGTTTCCTAATTATTCTCGAAAGTCCCGAGGCCGAACTACGGGCGTTCGTTTAACATTAATCGCGTAGCTATATCGAAAGGAACTGCGACGATTCCTCAGAAGAGACTACTATTTTGTACGATATATAAACGACCTTTTGTACATTTTCGTCCGCTAAGAACGTATAGGAAGCTGCAGTCTAGGTCGGGCTAAATTATACGGCGCTGTAACGAAAACGTGTTAACTCTCCCCTTAGTAGTCTAATAGTCGAGGCGCCATTTGTATCACCACAGGGCCGACCTTATCGCCGAGATTTGGAATTCCCTTTCGAGTCGAGGCTTTTTTTTTTACTGATAACGTTTTCGGCTGGTTACGCCGGGCACCACTAGTGTAGAGTATTACCAATGAACACTGGGAGACATCAATGCCCTCCCGTCCTGCACAGGCGATGTCGTATCTGCAGGGGAGGCATTCATGTCCGCAGGGTATACTGGGAGACATCAATGCCCTCCCGTCCTGCACAGGCGATGTCGTATCTGCAGGGGAGGCATTCATGTCCGCCGTCGAACGTGCTCGGCTTGGTGCACCGCTCTACAACTTTTCTTCTAACTTTAACCATCGTCGCAGAGAGCAAACGTGAGAAATGCGATATGGCGGAACATGTGAAATTACCGATACAAGTATTTGCCAAGTAGTCTTGGGTTTTTTTTTTTTGAGCTCTCCCAATTAACGAGAACGGTCGTGTCATTTGGACGAAATTTCGAAGCATACATTTTTGAAACGCTATAAGAGGATGTAGACACGACGAGCGATGGGAATTCTCGGCGACAGAGTCGGCTCCGAAAGTCCCATAGGTGTTGTACGCATTAATGTACCCATCTATACCCATGTAAAATCCCCGAAGAATATATCTCATTAAACGATCGAGTCGGAAACTTTTCTACGTACATTTTAATTAGATACGGTTTCGCTCTTAATGGTGCATCTTTATGCAGAGACACCCGGGATATTTGTGCGCATTGTGCGGGATTCCGTTTAATGAGCTCTATACAGATCAACGTTATGTACCTGCTCTCATGGTTTAATCCATTAGTGTATAGGGGTTCCATTTAATTTAATATTACGTATTATTATTAATAAAGTGACACTCTGATTTTAAACCTACTACGTCGATTTGTTGTTGGAATGGGGAGGTATAGATATACGATGGCGGACATGAATGCCTCCCCTGTAGATACGGCATCGCCTGTGCAGGATGGGAGGGCATTGATGTCTCCCAGTGTACAATGGCGGACATAAATGCCTCCCCTGCAGATACGGCATCGCCTGTGCAGGATGGGAGGGCATTGATGTCTCCCAGTGTACACCGGCGGACATGAATGCCTCCCCTGCAGATACAGTATCGCCTGTGCAGGATGGGAGGGCATTGATATCTCCCAGTGTACACCGGCCAACAAGAATGCCTTCCCATCATACATTGCCGTTACCGTGTTTGCAGGGAAAGTATTCGTGTCCTCCGCTGTACATGGTATAAGATCTAGGAGGCTTGCCGGCGAACAAGCGAAACCCAGTGAGAAATGACAGGTGGATGTCGGCAGCCAGCCCAAGCCGCGAAGAGATGAAGACGGGCGAAGCTGAAGCTGGGAGATGTGGGACCAGCTACCGGAGTTGATATTGACGCATATATTTCGTTATCTGGGCCGCGGAGATCGCGTCAACGCGGGCCAGGTCTGTCGATCATGGAACCAGGCCATGTCTTCTCCCGTCCTCTGGCGCTCCGTCACCATCCTCGTCGACCGCGACCTCCGCGGGGACTTCCCTCTAGCTGGGGAACAAGTGGTACTCCTACATCATATCGAGCCATTTCTATCAAGTATTTTTCCTCTTCGCTTTCGCTACGTCGAGATAACTGGAAGCTAGTTTACGGAGAAACGTTGGATAGATTTTTAGGCTAGACCTAGGTATCAGGCTTTTGCCGTTCAAGGTGATGTGAAACACCTCGAGGAACTTAATCGACGTCGATGAAGAAGATTTTTCTAAATACCCGTTGCCGAAGTTCGTTTTTATATTGACAGCTGAGTAGAATTATATTGGATAATGTACTAAATGGCATACTCCTATATGTCGTTTTCGTACAATAATTATAAATAAATCGAAGTTTTACTTCGATAAGTAAAACTCCAGAAATCCTCGGGATTCATGCTTTCTGGGGCCATAATTAACTGTGTCATCTGTGATTTTAAGGTCGATTAAATCTCGGCTTTTACGTTATATTAAAAAATCTCGGCTTTTAGCTATATTCCAAAATCTCGGCTTTTACGTTACATCCTAAAATCTCTACGTCGTAAGCGCTTCCCAAAGAGTAGAGGAACCTCTAAAATGCTGCACTTCGATTTCGGGTTCTCTCCAGGGAATCTGTCGATTAAATTGGCCCTGGCTTTCACAGGTAAAATATGGGCAACACATGAGAAGTCTGGAATTAGCCTGGTCGAGGCCTTACATGTTACCGAGGTCGAGACTCGCGAGAAATCTCCAAGCCGAGGCCGGCGCGGAGTTCCTGGCGGTACTTCGTCTAAAGGACGTCCAACTTAAGGAGCTCGTCCTTACGGACTGGGTCTTTGGCTGCAAGTGGGGTAACCGAGGAAAACTGTTGTACGTCTTGGCCAAGTTTCTCGGGTTGGTACCTTTGGAATCCTTTCCGTTCCCTTCATGATCCTATTAGTATCGCTGCATCCCTATCACGATCCTATTGGTAGTACCGCCAATGAATATCACTTGTATCGTTACAATACTCAACCAAATGTCAAACAACCAAAATACAAACAACATATACAAACAAATTAAGTGGAATTACCTAAACTTGAGTTACATGCGTTGGCATCTATGTACGATATGAAACAATGTTGGGGAATATCCAAATTTGTTTTGAAATTAAGACTTTACAGTGGATTATACAGAACTCTGTAAAATACATATTTATCGTCGAACATACTTTTAGGGACAAGATGTATTTAACCCAAAAGTGATTTTATATATATTACAGGAAGAGTACTGAAATCGGTTGAGGTAAAGCGGCAAAATTTAAGGAATAATTTAACACTATGGCTACCAAGCCCAGTCAAAATGTCTGGTTCTAGATGGCCTGTCACAGCTAAAAAAAAGTTCTAGGGTTAAAATCCAAATTCTGAAATCAATTATTTCACCTGCTTGGTACTTTTAACGTTTATCGTTGCTCGTGTAATACACTCGTGTTTTAACGTTTATCGTTGCTCGTGTAATACAGGGGCCAACACAACCTCGAAGTGCTGAGTTTGTTGAATGCGAATCTGGGAGTAAGCGACGTCTTGCGATTGCTGGGAACCGTCGCCAAGTCTTGCGGAGAACACTTGGCTTCCCTGGACCTTCGAGGAGCTTTCAGGGAATGGCAAGCACCTCACAGTAATCCGAGGTATTGCGTGCCGGCAAACAATTCAAAGTTTCCATAGAAGCTTAGAGCCTAGTGTTCTAAAAGTTGGTTAACAAACCAGAATTCGGGGTAAAAGAGGGATCGCATTCTACCTACCGAATCGTTATCCTACCTACCGAATCGTTATTCTACCTACCGAATTCCGGCATCGGGGAAATTTCGAGCGAGATATGTAAAATGCGATTCCATTCTTCCGATAAGTCAATTGTTCTATTATGTTCGTTAGGTATCTACGATTGCTTGGACGTCTTCACGCACTTACCACTTTGAAGCTCGATTATCCAGCTCTCTCCGATAACGCGCTGAATGCTCTAGCAAGTGCATCACCTAAGGTCCTGAGATCTTTGCACATCTCTGTACGAGATTCGGATTCAAGGCAACACACAGTTGCAGATACGGCTTGGCGGAATCTCGCGATAGCCTGCCCTAACTTAACCGTATCCTATACAATAGGTAAATCCTATAATATATAAGGACGATGAAATTGTGTTAACCGTGTGCTAAGGTAAGACGAGGTTGATGCGCCTACCCTGTTCAAAGTGTTCCGACATTTCAAACAGTTTCAGAAAAAAGGGGCCATTATACTTTGACAACCGGAAAATGAAGCTATTTTTAAAGACTTTTGCCTCAGGAAATACGTCATATAATGATATATATCTCTGACGTTTCTTGAGGTGAAGTGAAACACGCCGTGAAATTTGATCGACAACGGTATAAAAGAGTCTTCTACATATCTATGTTACCGACGTGCGTATGTATATTGACAGCTGTGTCGAATTATATCGGGCATTGTACTGCATGGCATACTCTATGAGTAGTTTCCGTACGATGGTTATAAATAAATCCAAGTATAACTCCAGAAATCCCCTGGATTTATGGTTTCCGAGGCCCTAATTGACTGCATAGTGTCACCCTGCGCCGTCTGTGATTTTAGTGCCAACTACATTTTCTTCTCCAAGACCTTGTATTATCATCGTTTTAGCATAGAAGCGCATAAAACACATTTTTTTTGCATTTGTTCCGTTCAAATACGAGTTTTTCGATTCTCAGTGTGTTCTAAATGGTTGTACAATTGTCCTGACACTTTCGTTTCTCAAATTAGAGCCTTCAATAATTGTGTAATGTATAACTATTGTACGCAAACGATAGGTGGAGTATGCCATTTAATACAATATCCACTATTAATTCGACAAAATTGTCGATATAAAAACGAACAATAGGTACTTAGATAGCTCTTCTTTACCGACGTCGATCAAGTCCCTCGTCTTTCATTTCACCTTAACTGCGTTATACGGGAGTCTACTGTACATAGTTAATTTCTCACCAAGTAATAACTATTAAAATACATGATACCCAATTTTGTCTGCATATGCATGACACCACATCGTCGTGTCTCCTATGCACCATTTAGCTTTTCAAGTGTGATTTTCAGTGAACATCTCGCATTACGAGGACATGTGCTACTTGCTGCTACCAAGTGTACCATTGGCAAGGTTTCAGATGTTTAGCGGACACGTTTGGGATCAAAGCAGATCGCGAAATTTCCGAAGCACCGTTGGATTATTGATAACACATTATACCAATACATTAGGTAGGGTTCTATAAGTGATTTCGTAATACCTATAATCTACCCATGAATTGCGTTAAGGCATCATTCTCGAATTCTCCCGTAATTTCATTTCTCTTCAGCGGAGGTCATGCTGCAATTGCGGAACAATCGCGAATTACTAGACGATCTATTGGTATCCATGCTGGTGCGATGCAAACACTTAACGCAATTGCAATACGACGGGATTATCAGAAGCCTGGACACTCTGAGAGAGATTTGTCAACTCCAGGCTGACTGCAAAACCTGTGAGTGTTTAATACATTGTTCGGCTATTGTCAATTTCTTTTATTTTGTTTTGTTCGTGGGTACGCATCGGCGACAACCTAAAGACAATGCGAAAAATGTGCGGCTGTCAAAGAGTTAAGGTGATGTGAAAGAGTATTTATATACTTATATATATCTGAGAGTATTCTCACACAACTACACAAAATAATGGAATTCACGTTATATATACGTTTTTTTAGCGAGAAACTCATTACGGTTACTGTTATGTTAGGTATTATGAACATCGATGTTTATCCCGTAACTAACGAAGATTTTCGATCGTAGGTTTTAAAACGATCCACGTGAAACCTCGCAACGTCAATCCTCAGAATCGAGCAGTTCTGGACGACATCACTTATCAATTTGATCGCAAGATGATCGAGCAAGGAGTCGATTTCAGGATCGAAGATCCTGCCTCTGTTCTGGTGTTCTACTGAAATCTAAATAAACCAACCCCCAACGCTGTCCCACATTTTCTACAGATGATGCTTTACAGCTTCTGACCGCGAAGAATAAAACATTGGCCACTTACCGTCTCGAAATTGGATGACTTTTTTCCTGCACAATTTACAGGGCTCGTATAATGTTACTTTTCGATGGTATTTATTTATTAAACTCCGTAGCAACCCCGGTCGTCGCGTAGGACGATAATCTGCAAACACTTGTTGATAGTACCATTAAATACAAGGGCAATATAAAAGAGTATTTATGACTACGGCCGACACATACAAAGTCCTAAGTTCATAAAGATCTAAAAATATTCCGTCTCGACAGTCACTATCGAACCGAGAGTCGCTAACTTATTCGGCATTCGAGTAATCGTTTTTGATTTTTTTTTCATTTTTTTTCCCCTTTTTTTTCTACCAAAATGCACACGTTCCTACGGCTTAGATTATAGTGACAGGAAAAAGCCCCGAATGCACAAACTCGGCAAGGTACTAACTCTAAGGAAAGTCTGCCAATCGTTTTCAACGACTGACTAATAATCACAAGTGTTTTCAGTTAATTAAAAAGACGCCGCAAGCTCGCCAGTAAATATAGGGAGTATTAAATAATACAATGTCATATCGGTTTTTATCACGTTTCAAGCAACGTATTCTAACATCTGCAAATCGTCACTGTTTAATACCATTCTATTCCGATCACCTTACCGGGTTGTCGCCTTGAAGGCGAGATAACGATAAAATTGACCACCATGGTTGGTTTTTCATCCTAAAAAGTCGCTCAGAGCGAAGCCACTATAGTGACGCGTAGTACCTAAGCTAATAACTATACTTAACAAAAATGCTTTGTCGAACAAATTCAACTCATACACATTGCTTCCTGTCGTAACCCCATTGTGTAAATCGTAAAAAATCTCATGTAACATGTTCACCAACACATGCTTCACGGCTGGGCAATTAGATAATGCTACAAGTTACCATTAATAGTATCACCTTTATGTATACAATAAACCCTCTATTCTAAAAAGAATAATAATAAAGGACCCCCTGGGTGTAGAAATAGGCCAGCAGGGCTGCAGGTGAGTATTAAGCACCATTGTGGTGACGAATCTCTTGCTATTTAGAGTACTCGAGTACTTTCTTCACACCGTAAGTGTGATTTTTCTTTTTTTTTTTTTTTTAGCGAACCTCGCAAAATCATCCTGGCGATACATTTCATGATTTTTAAATCCACCTCGTATATTCTACGTTACTTCAATACTGTCTTATACTTTCGACCATTCCTCCGAAGACGTCGCATGTGCAGAGTTGGAAATAATTTATTCATTTAACGAATAAAGAATAATATTGAAAGAGTATCCATTGTCTACTTATTCGTCTATTTGTTTCTTGTTTATTCGTTATCTATAAAGTTTTATTCTCAAGTACGTTATCCCTTACTGAATAAACCATCAAACGTGTTTAATTTTCATTTGAAAATGAAATGTTATTATTAAAAAGAATATCTTTCAAACGCGTTGCTACTGTACAAATATGTGTAAGATTAAGAGAGATTCCCGATTGTTTTTTAGAAGTTAAGAAGGACGGATAGTAAATAATGGAAACAGCATAACGAATAATCAGTGATTTGCAACGAATATTTTAAGTTACAAATATTACGAGTAACTAATACAGAGAATGGAAAGAAAATTTCATTTGCACGATCGTTCGGATAAAACGAGACTCGACCTCCTCCAACTCTGCACAAGAATCAATTTCTTCTTTCAATTCATAAAGCAACGAAGCATCGAATTTGCGTCGTTAATTTACTTCTACCCAGAAATGTTATCATTGATATTGATAACTCGATCCCTTGTTTAGATCAACAATTTGACGTAACATCACTGCCCATATTCTAATATTCTAGTAAGACCAAAAACAAGGACTTAGAGGGAAATGCAAGTAGACTATCAGCGACAGGATTTCAAGTGAGTATTGAGCACTGTCCTGGTGACGAATCCTTTCCCACACCTAGGACACACATAAGGACGTTCTCCAGGGTGGTACCTCTTGTGAACAATGAGAGTGGACCTTTGTATGAAAGCCTTGTCACTTCAATAATTTGACGTAACATCACTGCCCCTATTCTAATATTCTAGTACGACCAAAAACAAGTATGTAGGGGGAAATCCAAACAGACTATCAGCGACAGGACTTCAAGTGAGTATTGAGCACTATCCTGGTGACGAATCCTTTCCCGCACCTAGGACACACATAAGGACGTTCTCCAGGGTGGTACCTCTTGTGAACAACGAGAGTGGACCTTTGTGTGAAAGCTTTGCCACTTCAATAATTTGACGTAATTTCACTGCTCCTATTCTAATATTCTACTAAGACCAAAAACAAGTACGTAGGGGGAAATGCAAACAGACTATCAGCGACAGGATTTCAAGTGAGTATTGAGCACTGTCCTGGTGACGAATCCTTTCCCACACCTAGGACACACGTAAGGACGTTCTCCAGTGTGGTACCTCTTGTGAACAACGAGAGTGGACCTTTGTGTGAAAGCCTTGCCACACTGGTCGCAGGAATACTTTCTTTCTCCTGTATGAGTGACGTTATGCGTCCTCAGCAGAGTCTCACAGGCGAAACATTTGCCGCAAACCTCGCAGGTGAACGGCTTCTCCCCGGTGTGAGATCTGTTGTGAATCTCCAGGCCCTTTGCTGTCTTCAGTTCCTTTCCGCAAAGGGCGCAAAGGTAACGACGTCTTTCATAATGTGGAGGCTCACCGTGGGTCTTTATCTTATGTTGCTTTAACACAGACTTGTATTTGTAGCCTTTTCCACATATGTCGCAGGTGTGCGCTGGTTCTTCGTTTCTGACGAGAGACGCGTCGAAGTGGTACATCCTGTTGTTGAATTCGAAAACTCTCGATAATATTAAATAGAAAGACGTAGCAAAGAATATCACATATTAAGGTGATATGAAAGTGTCATACCAAAAGGCTGAAGTATTTATAAAACTTTTCACCAAACAGGGTGCACCGAATAATTTGAAATCATCAGCATGTGATTTAGGAGGCCTTAAGGACGAACGCAATGCTCGTGAAATTTCATTAAAAAAAAAAATTGTATTTATCTCGGATAGGAAACAAAGAAAGACTGCTTTTTCGAAAATTGAAATTTCACGAACATTGCGTTCTTCCTTAGGGCTTTCATAATCACATGTTAAAGATTCAGATAATTCAGTGCACCCAGTTTGGAGGAAAGTTTCGTAAATATTTTCAGGTTTTCATATATAAGGAATTATACTTTCATATCACCTTAAGGTCGATTTATACATGTCCGATCCGTATATCCGTATTGCACCCTGGCGTACACGAATGCCTTCCTTGTGGATATGGTGCCGCCCGCGAAGGGATATTCACTTAGGAAATCATAGATTTTAATGCACGGAATCACATGGAAATTATTGGAAAGTGTTGAAAATCGTTGGACATCACCGATAGATTTTCATGATTTTAAGGCCAAACGTCCCTTGTAACCGAATCACGTTGACTTTTATCGTATGAAACCAAAGGCAATCGGTTGTTAAAGGAAATGGTTTTCACTGATTTCCGAGTGAATAGCCTCTCGACTGCTGGGGTAAAGAGAGAAGGCATTCATGTCTATTTTTATATAGTACGGAGACGGAAAAATTAATCCTGTTAAGTGATCCACCTAAACCTGGAAAGGGGCACAAAAGTACAAGCAAAATGGAACATCAAAAAACAATCTACGAAGGCTGAGATTAGACAGCGAATAAGTTACTAAAAGTCAAGAATATTAATGGGACATCGATCTCGTTAAATTTACTGAACTGGTAATTTTCATATCACTAAGTGTGCAAAAATCCATTAGAATGCAGACTCGGCAAAATATGATCAAAATGATTGTTCGCTGTCTCTTCTCCGTCATTCCTGACAAAATGATATAAAAAAAAATAGGAGGGACATCGTGGCCAAAAAAATGGATGGCTGTCCGTTCGAAAGAACGGAAGGCCATCGTAGTTGCCCTCTTCTTAAGGGGCCGCTTCGGCATATAGCCTCTTCGACTCTTGAAGTCTCTTCGGGCAGAGCCCCCTACGTCCCGAACGCTTGGCAATCCCCTGATTTTCCGGATTAAAAAAAAAATCACTCCGCGAGCAGATGCAAAAGCTAGCAAAACGACGACCTGCGATCCAAGGATGCGCAGTCCGAGCGTATTGCACATTTAATCGGATTCCCAAGCGCGGTCTAATTAATTTCACTCCTGAAAGAAAATTGTCATAATCGCGGGCATCCGGGAGTACCCCGAGCGAATAATTTACTTTCCAGAATACAATTAATTACTCGCGGCAATCTAGACGTTCTTTATTAAAGAAATGTAATTATTGAAGAAACTAACATTAAATTTGGAAGAATTAGAGGTGCAACCCTTTAAAATCTGGCGGGAGCGATTTTGCGAAAAGAATTTAATGTCCAAAATTGATCTCAAAGTATTCGTGAATATTGAAATATTGGAAGAAAATATATCAAAAGAATTTATTTTTTTTGGAAAGTAGTTTCTACCCTCGGTGTAGAAACCCGGACGCAGAACGGACATCCTCCGCCCTTCCGGAAGCGCGAACGATGTAATGGTATCCCAGGTCCGGGATCTCCCCCCAAACCCCCGGGAAGAGATCCCGCCCTGGCCCTGCCTGCTTA